CTCACATGCCCCCACTCCTGTTCACCACCAAAGACATATATTAAACAAAAGCCAAGGGAGCTGCAATTCAAAACTGTCACAGTCAACCTTCCATCTAATTAACTCCTCATCACACTAGGATCCGAAAGGACAATGGAAAATTAGTCCTAATAAGCACAATTAAAAAGCAAATGCAATGTTGTATTTTGATCCAACGTCACAACTCATCACCTTGGAAAAGTGGGCAGAAAAATAAAAATAAACTTCAAAAAGCTAATTCCTGTTACTGGTATCTCCTGTGAGGGGCTGGTGACCAAAATGGTGCAAACCACGCGGTCCAGAAAGAAAGGCATCAGAGCAGATGTTCTGGACGTTTGGCATTCCTGCAAAGGCTGGGCATGGCCACTTGCCTCGTCCATCAGAAGTCAGGGAACGTCACGTCGGTGACCGCTCGAGCCCAAGTTGACCATTTAGAGGACGGCTGCTTAGGAGCAAGGCTGTGGAGGAGAATTTACCTGCTTTTCCTCTCCAGGAAGCAAGGAGGGCGTGGCGGTGCGAAGAACAGGATTTGTCGTGTTAAAAGCAACTTAACTGCAAAGATCAATTACAGATACGTGCACTGAGTGCAGCTATTACATCTCATTAGACAAAATAAAAATAAAAATAAGTAAAAGGTACCTATGAACGTGCTGCATATTACAGTAGGTTAAGCGTCGTCGCTAAATCAAGTTTAAAACGAGTCATCCTTTCTTCACTTTTACTCGCCCCGGTGGGTCCCGACTGTGACTTCTTGGGTCCCTCAAAGACGTAGAGACCCAGACAAGGGGGCGACGGCGCTCTGGGGCTTCCGGGCCGCTCGGATTCCGGGACAGGAAGCCCAGTGTCCTCCCGACCCCTCCCCGGATCCCACCCAGGGCGGCGAGTCTGGGCCCCGGTCTCGGGAGCGCCCGCTCACGGCTGGGAGGAAAGAAAGGACCGGGCGCAGGACGCGGGCAGGGGGAGGCCGGAGAGGAAAGGGCGACAGTCCGCCTGGCACCCACCTCGGGCCGGCCAA